TAGTCCGAACAGAGTTGTGAACCCAACAACCCCTTTACTTCATCTACAACTTCCATTAAATATAATGTGTGTGCGACGCACCTCGACATCTTTGTAACTTTCAGTCGTTGAGTAGTTCAAGAGAAGCATTCCCTAAATAAATGTAACCGTACTAAAATGTTCCTTAAAGTTAGCTTCTTCAGTTCATCTGAAAAACCTCGGATGTTGGCAAAAAATATGCGATTTTCTTTGATTTGATTTTTGATTTGATATTTTTTCCCAGCTTAGAAAGAACTTCGCTAATTATTATGAAATAGTGAATCGGAAGGGTTGCCACATTCTGTTTTCCGTAGCCTGACTAGTTTTAATCCAAAAATGTCTGCTGTAATTTAACAAGATATATGCATTGCCGAGAAAACCAGGTTCACATCGCTTGGGTTGCCAGGCTAACACGGCAGAAACATTGTTGCTATTGTCAATAATCCAGCCCATATAACCTGCCATAACTGACAGTTAGTAACTATGTTGAGGACTCAACATTATGCAACTGATGATGCACAAACGCGAACTTTTCACGTTTCAAGATTACTTTCAGCGTCCTTGTTAGTAACAGTTAAATATTTTAATTTTTCCAGACCTTTGAAATAGTAATTTATCAAAATAAGGACCGTCCCAAATGTACTGAAATTTTGCACTTCGCTGGCCACGAATAAAGAGCCGTCAAAAACGCAAATCAGGTTGGTTGAGTGTTATGCTGAAACATAAATAATACTTGTACATAACAGACAAAGTTAGATGCACACCAGATGATTGTAAAAATGAGAACAGTGTTAAGGTTCGAAGGCATGAAACAAAGGACAATCGCAAAGCGGTCAAAATTTACTTCCGTCACTGTTAATAGAAAATGTCACCAAACCTTTTGAACAAAGTCCTTTTAGCATACATTAAGCTTTTATGGGTTTGACAGCAGCCCCTACACAAAGATGCATTTTTTCAAAAGTCGCGGTAATGTTCACTAGACATGGTGCTGATCTTAGTTTTCTCCCGGGTATACGTGCCCTACTCACTGCCCCTAAATATTGCGATACCGTAGATGTGGCGTAACACAGTACACGAATTAATAATCACCATCACAGTCAGTGTCCACTCACATGGAATGTAAACCGAAAATTTCAAATTGGGTTTCGATAAGGAAAGACTTCTTAGGTGGGTTTGTAATAGTTACTAACTTAATGCATGTCTGTATGTAGAAAATTAGATACAAAATGTCTACTTGTCTAGCAGCCATTTTTAATTGATTTTATATCATAACAAATTCTTGTATATTCCTGATATAAAGAGTAGGGGAAATTTCGTTATTATGGTCATTCGCTGGCCAATAGCGTTTCTCGTAATTACTACTCAAAGGAATAGTATGTATTTGTTTCAAAAATCTTAAATTCGGTTTGATTTTGGTACAAATTGCCTTCTATATTTACACTTAAGGATTTCATTCTCCAAGTTGTATGGCTTTCGTGTATGGAATAACAGACATTACTGTAAGTCTTTAAGACGATATCATAAAATGCTGCTGTAAATTTTCGAATTGTGCTACTATATGACATACTTCGCGAGGGCCACCAATAAATGAACGGATAAGATGTGATTTCTATGCACGTTTTACAGTTCTAAAACCTCACTATTATAACATTTTAAAACCAATGATCTCCTTTTTAAGTAAGAACTTTAAAGATGTTGACTATCAAGTGGGTGAAAGGAAGCATATTTGTGTGTGCTTTCTATAAACTTTATTTAAATGTATAAAGACATAGAAAATCAATAGACAAAAATGAAAACCACAAAAACGAGTGCGGTTTTCACAGCCAGCTAAAAAGGCATGCATTTAAAATGCGTAATCCTGGCATATCTGGCATACCCTTGGAGTGTGCCGCATGCTTAAAATATTACAAACCTATACAAACAACCTTTCATAATCGAAAAGGCATTTCAGAATTTCCGTAATCATTTTCTAAGGTATAAGTATTCTTAGCTTAGAGTAAGTTGATGACTCTTCGAGAATTAAAAAACTGATCACTGTCAATTCCCGCCTTATCCTGTCCTGTCTCATTTCCCTCTCGGTCTGCTTCCTAATTTCCTACCACCTCCAACAAAGTCTCCATCTATGCGGAAGTTATTTGCTGGCTCTTAACCTCTTTTTTCTACAAATTTGTTATCTTTTATGCTACTTCAACGGTAGAAGTCGATTCAACTTTATTCTTCAGAAATTCCTTCCTGAACAAGACTTTAACAGAGATATTCTCAAACTCTCGTAACGGGCAATAATTTTAATAGTGATAAGGTGGGCAGCTTAGCAGGGGGGCGGTTGTGCCTCTCAAGCGCCAAGTTTGGGCAACTGCTTAACAGGTTGTTTACTAGAAGTCAGCTCCGGTAATTAACTTCTCGCCAACGTAAAATACATCATAAAAACGCAGACGTTCAAGCTTTATCTAAAATCTTAAAAAAAAAACCAGAGCGTTTTCAATCTGATGCGAAAAACGGTCCACGCAACTTCTTACCTTAAAATAATCTGCATTTTTTCATGAAGAAAGTAATCAATTCATCAAAAAAACACAAAAGCCCACCCAACTCCCATCGGTGTGGTATATAAGACCGTTAGGTATGTGTTCACTACTACCATCCATGAACCATTCTCGAGACTTGTTTGACAGAGTCTTATATGCACAATTTGAAATTTTAAATAATCTTATTAGGAGGGTCAGCAGATTTGCCTAATTTGAATTTATCCAATTGTGAAAAAACTCGAGGCGTTCGGCGGGATTTTAACCCACGTAGTAGAAAAGACCTTTACCGGAAGCCAACGCTCTAATCGACCTAAGTGTGATTAAATTCATGGCGCGAAGTGGGGCGTTTGTAGCTTAGTTGTTAGAGCATTGGCTTCCGGTAAAGGCCTTCTCTACTACGCAGGTTCAAATCCTGCCGAACACCTCGAGTTTTTTAAATAATCTCTTTTACGAAGTTATTTCATATACATAAGAGGTGACCCACAGGATACAAAATTCTTTTAAATTCTTTTTGTACGAGGGAGAAATATATTTATATATATTGCTCTTAAATTATTAAGCCTTACACTACTGTCGATGAGACAATTTTTGGCAAAAGCAGCAGAATTCCATTCGAAATTTCAGGTTTGAATATAAGCATAATGACTGAGTTAGTATCACGTTTTTACTTCCTATAACGATTAGATTTCAAAAGAAAGTGATTTTGGCTAGGGAAAAATTAAAGTTATACCTCCATGGATTCTATTTTGAATAAGCCAGCTCTACAGATAAAAGGTCCATCACTGAACCAACAGTCCATTACAAGATTGCGTGGGTATGCGACTCTGACCTTTTTGAGAGCGCTAATTCTTCTAATAATCAAAACAAAGAAGTGTTGGGTTAATATCGTTCTGTGTCCTAGCCCATCGTTCACCTGCTTCCTCCCAAAGTGCATGTAGATTTGCTGATCTTGTTGGCTGACAAAAATCTACTTTACTTTCCGTAAAAGATGCATAGTGACGTGACCTGAGCGTTTTATTTGAGTCGCCGACATTATTTAAAGACGCGCAGCAGACAATGCAAATATCAGACTCCCCGCTATTGCGCTATGCAGCACCAAAATACGTATTTGTATTTCATGATACAATCATCGTCTTGTAGCAAGTGAGGGAGGAAAATATTGTTGAGAGGCGCAACAAACGAGGTGGACTACAAAAAACTGATTTGAACTAAACTGTGTGATCAGTGCCGAACGCGGCCAACAGATATACAAAGCACTGAGATAAGGAGAGGTCAGGGCGTATTTGCGCATTTCTAAAAGACTTGATTGAGGACAGTATAAAATTAGTTAGTGCTGGTCAATCCCTAGGAAGTAATACTATAACAAACTTCATTCAAAATCAAAAAATATAATAAGTACGAGGAACAGTTTCATATTTTCAATTTTGGTTTTATTTACTGAAGAAAACTTCAAAGTTTAATCTCAAACATGACATTTGAGAGCATACTTGTAATCAAGCTGTGTTATTCAGCGAAAATATTGTCGGCGGCGCAAATATTATATGCATATCTTTAAACTTGCCTATTTGGTGCAAGCACGAGTCAATCCAGTGACTTGATAGAAAGCCACAATTAAGGGCGAAACATTACTTTCAGTCGGACTATGGAGATCTAGTGATTTATTTAAATAATTTTGTCTTATTTGTGATTTATATTATAAGTTTGATCCAAATAATTTAATCCAAGCAGAGACAGTAGATATCATATTTCAGGAAATGTTAGCTGGCATTTGACGAACTTAAGTGGGGTCATAATACTGGTAATCGTGTAGTCTAGACCCAAAATATTTCTAGCATGCTAAGAAGCCGGCTTTTAAAAAAGCTTCTTTCTCTTTGTCTGCAATAAGCATACTGTGTAGAATGGTTATTTTTCTTATTGATTTAAAACCTACTTGTCAGTTCGGTTTATCAAACTAGGAGATATACATTTGTCAAGTATATATTTAAATGAAGCATAATCTGCTACCTAACGAGTAGAAGAAGGAATTTATTTATGCAACTTTGCTATAAAATATGCTTGGATTTATAATGGCTTCAAATCAACGTGGAAGGGCATTTTACTTCTGTTGCTATTTTTACAGATTAGGTTTTCAAAGGCAGTCAGAAAGCAGCTCGCTCAAATGCCGGCACCATGTCATAACAGCAATGTCTTCGTATTAGATTGCACGACCACCAGTATTACAACCCTACTGATAAAGATTGATCTGCTCGAAAACACACGCGTTATTGCCGGTTTATTAATATTTACCAATTGTTCACAAATTTTAGCGTTTTGCATGCTATTCAGCCCGAAGTCTATGCATAAATGGGTACCAACTCAACGATATGCGCGAAGCTCTCAATATGGACTTTGCTTTTGCGAAGTATAACCTTTTATAATCCGCCTTTTTAGTCAGCATGAAAAGTACTGATTTATCTTGCCTTACATGCCATAGCCAAGTACCATTTCAACAACAATGTAGCCAAGGCCCCAGGAGTCGATAAATTGAGTCGTCGTGTTTGGCTGGCTGTAGATTTCGGGCGCCAGGTATGCGGCGAAGTAGTAGCGTGTCGGTGGTTCATTCATTTCAATTATTTCCAAATCCTCGTCATTGAGAACACCATTCTCTTTGGCCCTTCTGCTTGAATCAAGGTCATTTGCATCGGATCTCGTGGTTAGTTCTCCCCCATCGCCATGTTTCCGAATGGATGGGAAGAATTTTGCCATTCCGAAGTCAATCAACTTTGGCCGATGTTGGGAATCGAGGACAATGTTTTCAGCTTTCAAATCTCTAGGTCACAAAAACAGAGAATGAAATAGTAAACTAGACTCATTAACGAACTAGCATATAAAGGTTGGAAGTAGATTAGCCACATACGCGCCGATACTAAGTAAAAATATATACGGTTGTAGTTTTACAACTTCGCGTGGTTTAATGCGGCCATTCCCATAAAGATTACCTCAAAATGATAGTTCCCAGTTCCACTGAATAGTTTTCCCCCTTTCACCTCTAACGCAGCGGGTCTTAACAGTTCTCCCCACTTCTATCCGAACACCACCAGTCGTAATCATGTGCTTGACCCTTTCACATACCAGCTCTTTGTTTGTGTATGTCTGTCCCGTCGTGCTAGCCGATCTAGTTTGACAGGTTCACTTTCCCTCTCTTCATTACAGTTTACGAAAGGTCAGGCTCCGCAACTCACAAACTCACGAAAAAGACTCAATTTTTCGATGAGCCTTCTGTTCTCTTTTGAAGATATCTTTAAAATAATTCTTGCATAAAACGGGAAGACGACTATATGCTTGAAAACCAAAACTTCCTACGTTTAAAAAGATATGTAATGATTGAATATGATAAAGCATTATGGAAAAAATGTGATAGCTGAACTTTTCCAATGAATCTTTAACGGAAAATCTTGAAGTAAATACCTATACTTAGCATTCTACGAACGATGTAGGTAATATGCTGTTCAACTCAAAATACGCTGTTCGACTCTTAATTTTAGCATAACGCTTGATTTGAATATCTAGACTTTAATCTGGCGTACCTGCTATTTTTCGAAATAAATTATTTCTTTATACGTTAACCTTTGTAGCAACGTACACCTTAGGTGTCATGTACTGCTTAAATCTTTCTCGTAACTTGAGTACTCGTGTAAAGAAATGTAAGACGGTTTGAGGATGTTGAGATTCTACAAATTTATAAACTGAGGATGAGTATCGTCGATGCTGTGAATGTAGAACTTACCGGTAAACAATACATTGATCATGCAAGTAAACCAAAGCGCTCAAAATGCAAGCAGCATAATATGTGACGTAGCATTCAGGGAGAGTGCCAACACGGGCTATATGATTCCACAGACAACCTCCTTCTAGGTACTCAAATGCCATGAAGAGTGCAGTTTCAGTCTCGTAAATATGGAAGGTCCTAAAATATACAATGGCCGGTTTGAGTGCTACAAGTTTATTCCGGGACAATTGTGGTTAAAAACAACGGTTAAACAGACAAAATGTAATCGAATATGGGGGTGCATTATCTTTAAGTAGACTTGAAATTTAAGTCTTAAAAGGTTGAGCTTGTTGACGTACAACACGTCCACGTCTACGTTATTAGATTTACCTCACTGGGACTCTGGCAATCCGAATGTGTCTCCTTTTTCAGGTTACGTTTATGTCCTGTAAGTTAAGTAAGCCTTCATAAAAAGCATGTCTCATCGAAAGTTTTCCTTTCTTGTCCACTGAGGAGATAAACTGCTTTAATGTTTTGTAAATCTCGGGGAACATGCTCATTAGTTCCGTAATGAATCCCTAATTATGCCGTTTGTATTTACCCCATACAAAGAGGGATTTGAGGTAATTCCTATCTAAACGCAAAAGAGCTTTCGAAAAGCCGAAGTCGGTACGCAAGGACCAGTCGTCAAGTGAGGTGGTAGAGAGTGTTGCAGTTAATTTTTTGACAGCTAGATAGAGGATTAATTTTGACACCAGTATGTAAGCGTAGCTTTCCCGTTTTGCAGGTAGACCACAGAGTTAAAGTTGAGAATCGCATACTAGCGTGTACTTGATTGCTGCATTATGAAAGTTTAACGTGGAAACGCTCCACTGAGCAAACGGTCAACAAACTGCATCAACAAAATTTATTTTACTAGCATAGCATTGCAGAAATTCCATATGACGAACAGCCAGCTAGCTAAGACCGAATTTCCGATTCAGTGTTGTCTCGCGATCTCCGTACTTGCGCCAGAGAAATTCAACTGAATCCACTCCTTCCGACATCTCTTATTTCATCCTGATAGTTAATTTTTCACTCCTTCATTCGGGCAAACCGAACATGGATTAGACGGGAACGCGCTAACTGGACTTCGCCGAGTCTGTGCGAGTTCTTAGCTATGACCGCTACGTGCGTGGTACAGTGATTAGATGCGACCAATGCCACCTGAGACACTGCGCTATATGGTGGATGGGCGTTCACCCATCGAGTCCGACCAGACAACGAGACCGTGGCGCAGTGCTTAGAGCGTTGTACTTCTAATCAACGGGTCGCGAATTCGAGCTTCGGTTGTTACACTAGCTGGGTTGGTTATGACAGGTTGATGCCGGTTAATGAGCCAGAAATGGCCATTCTAGTGTCTCCTTGTCTTTGCCGGCAATTTTCATCTGCCTATTCTGTGTTTAGTCCCAACACAAATTGGATCGCGGGCTTAGCCAGGAGACCGGTGCATAAAGGAGGGCAAGAGAAAGAGAATGAGATCAAAAAGGGGAATTCATACTGGTGATAAACCAGCAAATTACTCACTAATTTACATAACACACTTCTGAGTAGAAGTCATAATATGGAAGACTGAGGCGATGATTCGATTCTAATTTGAACAAAGTTTAGCCTGCAGGGACTCGTTTATGTGGTTTTTATTGCAGCCCTTCTGAGGAGGGATCCTAGACCAACTGTCTACGACTAGTGAATATCGACTATGTGACTGGCAGTGCTACTGAGGCAATTAAACCGTGAGGACTCTATTCGCAGAGGGCACAGTTCTTTTTTATCCCAATAAACAACTTCACACGCTAATAAGCTATCATGTAGGATTTTAAGGCACCGTTTAGAAAGCTCTCAAACGACAGGATTAAAATTTCGCACAAAACGGAATCTCCGATGGCCATGGTTCCTTTTAAATTCGGCCTTTGTGGTATTCGCAATTATAGTTGCTCCTTTCCCGTTTCTGTGGAAACCTGTTCTAGTGTTTGCGAACCAGGGGTATGCTGCGCGTTGACGGGCTGTGTAAAGTTGTCCGCAACTGATAGTCATGGTTATGGTAAGGCAGAACATAGCAATATAACTAACTTTCCATTTTCTGTACATCCCCTCGTTACATAAAACCCTACCTTGGCCTGTTAAAAGCGAAATGTGGAGTGAGACCACTGTGCAAAACAAGTTTATTCTTGCTGTTAAGGCACTTCCGCTTTAGGTTTTTTTTCAGTGAATGGTAATTTTATTAATTACAGGTCATAATTCTATATATATATACCTCTATCGAAGTGAAGTCTTCAATTAGAATTATCCTAGCTCCGTGTATGATACATATCTTTTATATGTTAAATGGTTATATATTTTTTAATTTTTGAGAGCAAAGACGAATTTAAATCCTTAAAAAAGTAACTCTAAACTGCAACTGTAATTGTAAGAGCAACGTGACTAACGGGTTTTAATTGACTGCACATCAAACAATCCCGATAATTGGTGCGGCTTGCCACCATGTTACCATAATACTCTGAGAGAAAAGGCTCGTAGTCACGAGCTTGAACATTTTACTGCAAACAGATTTCGTCGACCGAAAATTGTAGGATTGACCGTGTTGCTAGTACAAGTAAACCTATTGATAGTTGAAATTTTATATTTCATAATTATTCATACATTTCCATAACTCAACATTTTTTAAAACACACGTATACTTTCGAAAAATTCTCATCGACCCAATCACGTTCATATAGGAAGTTGTAA